GTGGATTGAATAGCTCGTACTTTCTTTTGAAAAAGACGAACTTGTGACGAAACTGTCAATTCTCATCACTATAATGGCTACATCCGATTAAAATTTTTTTGAAGTGAAAAACTTTCTAGACTTGTAATTTCCCATTGTGTTGATGTGAATTGGTTAACAAGATAATGCGGTTTGTCACGACTGGAGTTAGTTTTCTTAAGGTTACGCAAAGGATCGTGTTTGTAAAGATAAACTTCAAACTCTCGGCGCTTTGAAAACAAACATTAGTCAAGTTATGACCGAGTTATTGTTAGCAATGTGCCGGTAAGTTATCGAAGATTATCTCAATATTATCCCGTACAGTAATATGACCTATGAAGAACATTTGTATGATCTTGTATTTTACACCTACTGGCGAAATGTGAACTGTATACTAAATAAAAATTACATTAAAATCTGAAAAAATACTACTATATGTTATACATAGTAATAATGTATATATATTATTACGATTCTAGCTGTCTTCAAAATAAGCAATTTGGTAATAAATAGTATGATTATTAACTTCAATTATGATATGGTTGCATTTTTCAATAGAATTTTACTAAACAATACATAATTAATTATAATTAAATAAAATTTTATTTATAAGAAAAACTACTAAATACTGGTTATTTTAAGTGCGGGTATATAATGACATCATAATGGAAAGACTGTCATTGCAAATTACATATGAATTTTAAAACTATATAGACTTGTTTGCTTGACATTTTCTTTTATGTTTTTATTGCTCATATCATTTTTTATTACTTTTTAATTTAAAGTTTTTATTTATTTTCTTTATATTGTACAGAATACTTAACATTATTACAGTTGATTGAAATTTATTGCGAACTAGTCAAGTTAACTCCTACAACAAATAAATTAACCGCTAAATTAACATCGAACCATTTACAGATAACTAACCTCTGCTCCGCAAAGCAATCAACGGAATATTAAAAGATAAAAATTATTTGAGAATAAATTGAGTCAAAAATATTATATATGATCTATATGTTTATATTACATTACAATTATTTAAATATTTTTTATGTATACGATAATAAAGTAAAATAGTCATAGAGGTATTTATCTCAAAAACATATTGCAAGTATATATATATACATATATATTTAAATAAAATTTAAATAACAACTTTTATGCCTTTTCTACTTCATTATCACTTATGCACAAAATATTTACCTAATTATAATATAATATATAACTACTGATAATTATAAAAAAAAAATTATAATTACATTAAATAATTAGCTGTATAGATCAATTACTTATAAACTGTTGTATTTTTAACATATGCTTGTCTAAAATAAACAATTAAAAATATATTTTATCACCTTTAAGGTAAGATAACGCATTTTGTGATTATTTATACTCGCTGCATTAAAAATTCTTTATATAAATACAATAAAATATAATAAATACCGGTTGACAGTTCTTAAGGTAACCGAGAGCGTTAAAGAATAATATTTTTTACATTTTTTAAAAAGTGCTTTCTTTAAAACTTAATATTTAATATTTATAGTTTCATACATGGACTAGATTGGATCTATGATCTTATAAGGGGACTTTCATTTTAATATAAAATAAAATCAACAATAACTATCTACGTTGGGCACTTGTCAGTAATCACTTATATTATGTTGAAGCTATTTGAGCCAGTGCACTTGAGCACTTTTACTCTTTTTTAACTCGAGGTATTTTCAGAATCCCTTGACTGGATTATTGCTTATCACCTCATCAGACTAAGCAATAATTGATCTCATACCTCACCGAGAAGTCTGTAAACATTTTGAGATTTAATAACGCGGTGTTGATAAGTCTGTCAGTTTTCGCAAATAATTTCAGGGCTCTATCCTTTATGTATTTTTTGATGGGATCAATCTTGAGGTCCCTGAGGATATCATTCTTCCTAATGTACCACGGTACTTTGAAAAGTCTTCTCAGAGCCTGGCTTTGTGCAATTTCTAGCTGGCTGATAGTAGTGTTTGAAGTTTTGCTAATTTTCTGTTTAAACAATAAATTGTATAATAATAAACAATAAATATTTATAATATAACCTAATATATATAAAATTTCAGATCATGACTTTTGAAATTATGAATATTGCACATATGATATCGATTTTATCTGATACTTTTGTTTATCGTAAACTAATTTAAAACTATAGAAATCTATAGAAATTAATTTCAAAGGTCTATTTTCATACACCATTTCTATTTCTATCTAATACCATTTAAAGTTCATTAATACTTAAAAATTTTAATTTAGATAATTTCATTAACTTAAAAGAAAGCAAAATTTAATATATAAAGATTTTAATTTAGGCACTTTCATTAACTCTAAAATATATCTATGACTTCATATAAAGCTCTTTATGTTGTGGTTTCATTAATCTTCAAAATGAAATGATTTGTTGATTTGACAAACTTATCTATCTAGTTTATAATTCGATGTTTAATTAAATTTTTAAATATCAATTTTTAATGCAATATTTTAATCACAATAATAAAAATTATAAGTTTTCGTTTTCTTACTATACCACGTACGAGTATCTAAAAATTCAAAATAGTTAAAACATCTGTTCACATTGATGACATACGTCCTAAATAGCTTTTTTTGACCTTAAATAGATCTATCACGAAATAGATATAGGTATAACTAAATTGCTTTAAAAGTAATCTTAAAGAAACGAATTTAATAATCATCTTTAAACACATCCAACGGTTTCCTATTATTAACATAATAATTAGTTACCAAAAAAGTAACACTAATTTTGATTATGATTATATTAAATTATATTATTAAGTAGTCAAGACTTATGTGTGTAACATCATTATAAGTATATAATTTATATACAAATTTGGTTGAATTCTTATCTCATTTAAATTTTTGTATATTTTCATCAAAAAAATTTGCAAAAATTTAAAATATGACTAAAAGATTTTGTGAGAATTAATTTATCAAAGAATTATAACGAATTGCCATATATTGAGTTACTTAAATGGGTCAAAACATCCGTGGAATGAAATGATTCACCACGGAATTTAAAAGAATTCAAAAACAATTGTTTGAAGTAAATTCTTTTTTTTTTTGAATTACCTTAAATTTAAAATTTTTATAAGAAATACAATAATATTTGATTGATTTATGTAATTTCACTGAAGTTTTTAGCATTCATTTGAGCTCAACTCTAAGCAATTGACTTTTGACATATGGAAAATATGGTTTTTGCTGAGCTCTATTTTATACCTGAATATTATTTTTTTGATTTTAGATATCCATATACTTGAAGCTAGAAATAACATCAAAATCTATTAATTTAAAATGTTCTCACATAATTGGTTGTCTAATTCAAATACACGAAAGTGAATTATTATGCCACTGAAGAAATAAATATAATACATGATTATTAAGAAGTATCAGAAACTTATTGCTAACTCCAATTTAATTGAGGTCAGTTTAAAACAATGAACAAAAAATGTTAGTGTTCAAAAATACAATCAATGATCTGCTCTTATTATATCACAAGTATGAATTTTTAACAGTTGATCTATTATCCAAGATTAGAGAACATATTTGTACTTTAATGAGGAGGAATATATCTTTGATGATTACTCTGAACACTTTAGTAAACAATTCGTGGGTAGACAACCTAAAAATATATCTTATTTCGACATATGTACTATAGGTTGGTTTAGAAAGCAGTTTCTTCATTCTTTAAAGAAATTTCTTATCATTCTTATCAAATTTAACTTTTAAGATTTTTAAATAATTGGAAAAATATTTTTAAATTTTTAAATATATGATAAATATTTTATATGATAAGCGTTTGTGTAACAATTAAATTTTGGTACAGCCATATATGGGTTATAATAACCTAAATCGGTAATTATAGGTATTCACATAACATTCAATATCTGTAAATCTGTGACATTGTATTACCTCAAAAAAGCACAACTAAGTAGCAAGATAAGATCACTTGTACCTATAGAAGTGATACCGAACTGTTTTTTAAGCGCCTGCCAAATATTACAATTATTTTGTAATTAAAAATTTGACTTGTCCAAATATTGGTATAACTAAAAAAATTCGTTATATTAAATTTGTTGCACTTACAATGCCCACTAAGGCTTTATTTACGTGCTCACATACCAACGCTGTATTATATTTATTTATATATGAGACACATTAGGTATGTTCGACATCGCTGGCTTAAACTAAAAAAAATGTGACAATCTATCAACGACTTATCTACGTCTAAAGAACTAATGTGTCACTT